CACCTACACGCAGCTGGGCCAGGAGTGGGGTTGTTCTGGCTGCCCGGGGATTTCAGTAGTGGTGTCCAGGGCATGTTGATGCTCAACCTCCTCTAGAAACCCTCCATGGCTCTGACCAACTTGTGCCACTCCCGGAAAGGGGAGCGCTGAGGGCGCGGAGGGGACAGTGTCTGTGGCAGACTTGCCCAGAAGGCCGTGGCAGAGCCGAGCAGCATCCGACGGCCTCAGTCCTCTCCACTCCTGCCATCACCCTGTGCCATCTTCTGAATCGCTTCCACCTGCAGAAAACATGAGGCAAAAGCCTTCACACCGTGCCCTCCTTTACTGCCTGGTCCTGACTCCTTCCCTCTGTCTCAGGGAGGGAATGAGCTCCCCTGAAGATGCTCTGTGTTCATTTTCTCTGTAGGTGGTGGCAAAAGAGGGGGTAGTGAGAAGAGAGCATCTCCTTGCCTGGATTTTGTGTCCTCCCCTGCCGTCTGCTGGATCAGAGCCCAGAGCTGCCTGCCAGTCCCTGTCGCCTTCAGACAGCGCGTATCTTGTGCAGCAGAGGGAACAAACCATCCTGCCGGGTTTGATCACCAAACCTGATGAATACAGGGCAAATCCAGCCCAGCAGGGTAAGTCACACGTGAGACACAGCCACGTGAGTGAGTGCCTCAACCTGGTCTCCTCCATGCTCGGATTTTCTGCATACCCCAGGAGAAAGATTTACTAGTGCACATACCTAAGCAAAGCTTAATATGCCCCAAAAGGTCAAGTTAGGTGTCAGCAGTACTGAAACGTGATACAGGAAACCCCTGGGTTTTGATTCTTCTTCATTTTTGATCAAGTTTTTTCACAAGCTGAAGCATTATTTCTGTTTGCACTCGCATTCCCATGAAGGACTTGGTAATGCTGACAAATTAAAGGAGAAAAATGTAATGAGAGATGTTAGGCCACATTTAACTGCTGTGTGGTGCAGATAAGCCTAGCTTAGTTGAGCTGAAATGGACCAGCCTATGTCAACTAGCCAGGACTGGCCTGGGGCTATACAGCCTTCCTTTTTCAGACAACACATGAACATTTTGGCAAAAACATGCTGTGGATATCCGCCTTCATCCACCTTGCCGTGATTTGCTTGCTGGAGAGGGAGCAGACGGCAAATGCATTCCCACAGAGCTGGAGCTGTGGCAGCAGAGCTGGGACTGGATGTGCCGGGACTCTCTTGCTTGGTTCCGCTTTTCTCGGAGGACCTCTGTATTCAGCCATGTGTCTCGAATGATCTTCCCCTCTTCTCGCACCCATTCCTTCAGCTTTTCTCCCTGCCACACAGGAACTGGTGAAGCTTTAAAAACTCCAAAGAGATGTGATGTTTAAGAAATTGGTCTTCAAAAAAGTTCTCCTGAGTTGTTCTCCTAGAAGTCATTCTCCTAAAACCACTCATATTTGGTTGACTCAGGAAATAGTTTACTTGCAGCAAAATTGCTTGTATTTCACAAAACACAAATGAAGCTTGTTTCATGCTTCAAGCTTGCTAAGACATCCCTCAACAACTTCATCTCCTGGGAACTTTCACTGAATATCTAGCAGCAGCAGCGCAGCTACACCCCAGGTACCTTTGGACCCCCCCCAAGTTGGACCCCAAGGATACCTGATAAGACAGAGAAGGTTTTTCTCTATATAGTTCTGAAATTCAGATGTTAAACAAAATTAAGCAGCCTCCGGGATTGGCATGCATTGTTCTCCCTTGAAGGGGGACTTTTGAGTAAGCAGGCAAAATGTTTCCTAAGACCACAAAAATCCCACAGATGCAATCAGGGTAAAGACTTCCCTAGCGCAGTAAGATATTGATATAAGTTTCCTTTGGAGACGTGGTCGTCTCACGTTGCCTGTGCCACAGCTTCAGCTTCTGTGGTCGACTTCACTTGTATCCTAATTAGGATGAAGCTTTCCTGTTGGTGTGATGCACCCAGACGTTACTCTCTGATGCCCTTGAGTATAGTAAAGGTGAAGTCAAGGTGGCGGTAGGCACTTTGGTGGCTCTTCGTGATCCAGAGGCGGAGGCCAGGATGTCATCCACAGCTCAGGCCACCTCAGGCTGTCACAGCAGGTTGTGCTGCTCCACTGGGGTCTCTGGAGGAGAAGCCCAAACCTTTTTCTCCCTCCCAGACCATCTTCTACCACAGAAGGACCACTGCTGTGGCTGGTGCAGTCCCTGGCTGCTCTCCAGAGTATGGCTGGCATTGCAGGCCAAGCTGTGTGGTGGCTCCAGTGAGTCCTGCTGTCCCATGCTAGGTCACAAACTGGGTGATGAGTGTTTTGCATGACCACCGAGCTGTGACATCCCCATCTCTCCCGGTTTGAATGCTCCTCTAATGAGCACAAAGGGATCCCCATAACCAGTCCCTTCACCCCAGCAACTTCCAACCCAGGTGTTGGAACTGCAACAGCTTGGATTTTCCTAATACTTAACAGAAAACACAGTTATTATGGAAAAGGCTATGAAACAAGCCAAGACCCCTCAAAATCTCAAGTGTGTATTCTGCAACATCAGTCACAGCAAATCTTAATACACTCTGGAATCATGATAGATCACACCCACTGAGCTGCCAGGAATCCTTGGTCCCATACATGAGGTCCACACTGATTAGATCCTCTTTGATCCAACACTCATCAAGCAATCATACTGATTTCTTCATAAAATAAAAGCAGGCTGATGGATTCTACAAAGCAGTACCATTTTTAGGTAGTGCCATCAGCCCCCAACAGAGCTTCTCTATCGGGTCAGCAACTTGCGGAAGAGAAAACCAGAAATGAAAGTCACTGACACACACATCTGCTTCCCCTCAGCTCAGCTTTACACCCCCCCACCAGAAGCATCAGATGGAGTTCTCCCCTTTAAGTGGGCACCACATCATGCCCATCACTCCTTTTCTTCTCACCCAGCTTTAAGATCAGATCCAGTGTACCCGAGGTTCCTTTCTCCTTTTTTTTAACCTTGTGCCTTCCCTTTAGAGCCACACAGGAGCCCGTGGCCAGGCAGATACCACATAAAACAGGTAAGTCTTTAATTATATTTCTTTAATGGAAAAATGTTCCTGCATTTTCTCAGCGGGATAAAAGAAGTGCAACTGAGCACAGTGCCACCACGCTCCAGATCCACCCACAACCCAGCAGCCATCTGAGCCCATGAAATCAGCTCAGGCTGTCACATGACTCTGAAGAAACATCTTAAGAACCCCAGTGAAGTCCTCCAATTTAATTTAGATAAAAATTCTGTACAATTCAATTCAAAGCACTGAAGAGCTACAATTGTTTTTAATCAGTAATGTGAACATTTATAAGGTATATACTCACAAAAAATGCCTAGCTCACATACTGCTTTGGATAAACAACACTTTAACAATAAGCTTTATTAAAACAAAGAATTCTACAATGAAGACAATTGCTCTTCTTCATCATATCTACAAGTGCGATGTGAAGGAAATACAGAAGTTCTAGAAGATTTTGACTTGCAAGGCAGAATTTTTCAGACCTGCATGGGGGAGAGGAGATTGACATCAGTCACTCTGTTCACACCTCAACTGTAACTATTGGGGGGGGGGGGGTAG